TCAAATCCGGGTCAGCCATGTGCAAGGCAAATGCTCTACCCACTGTGCTATCTCTCCAGCCCCAGTACATGCTTTTAAAAAGGCGTGCAGCCTAGAGGTTTTAGTACATTTCTTGAATATTTCTAAATTCCTTTCCATGGGGTCCTTTGTGAGTTTCTGCATCATGAGGAGAGTGAGCGCCACTTCTTCACAGTCTCACCAATGGTGCTAGTGAAACCAGTGTGATGGTACTTATATTGTTTGTCAATGTGAAATCAGAATTGGTACTTACATCGTTTGCCAATGTGGTGGGTCAGAATCAGTCCTTTGATACAAGTGCAACCTGTGTCTCTGTGGGTGGAATTTATCTTTTGAATTGAACTCTTGGCTTCATTTTAAACTTGTCTACAGCTATACCACCCTGAACATGCCCAATCTCAACTGAACTTATTTCGCAGTAATCGGAGATTCAAGTTTATGTGTAAGGAATGCAACAGAGAGAGCCCTGTCCCCTTTCTCTCTCCCAACGATTTCAATGAGTTGGTCAAGATGGTGTAAATGCATCCCATTCTCTTCTTCCACTGATACCAGATAATCACAAAGACCCAATAGACTGAAAATTGTTGCAAAGAAGACAAACTGCCTACAGACATGGGATGGGATTTGAGCTCCATTTTTTCCTTGTTCTCCCTCCCCCCCATAACCCAGAAGAGGTTCAAAGTCCTCCTTACTCTCTGAAACCCAGAAACATCCAAAACAACAGGCCAAATCCGTGGAAAAACCTACTCTCAGTAGCTTAAGATTGAAGGAGAGGGCCTGGAGAGAATACAAGTGAGGCATTTGCCTTGTATGCGGCTGACTCTGGTTTGATGGTCAGCACCACAGATGGTCCTCTGTACCCAGCTATGGGTCACTCCTGAGCAGAGAGCCATGAGGACTTCTGGGCATACCTCCTTATTCCTCAAATAGGAATAGGTAGGGCAGCAGATACCACCAAAGCACACCCACCAATTCTCCAGAGAGGCAAAAAGCCAGCAGGGTAGGGGAACCCAGGTCCACTCCACCCTTTCCAAGGCCTTGGCACTGTCCTCCCCACAGGGCCTCTGATGGTGTTCTAAGGCCCAGCTTCTTTATTTTGGGGGCCTCATCTGGCTCTGATCCAGAGCTATTCTTGCTCTGTGCTCAGTTACTGCTTTGTTTGCACACCTATTTTATATACCTATACGGCCGAGCTGGGTTCGATTCCTCCGCCCCTCTCAGAGAGCCTGGCAAGCTACCGAGAGTATTCAATATGCCAAACACAGTAACAAAAAGTCTCACAATGGAGACGTTACTGGGCCCGCTCGAGCAAATCGGTGAACAACGGGAGGACAGTGGACAGTGGACTTACGTTGCAAAAACCAAGTTGTGTGGGAAAAGTTTAAGAAGCTCGGCTCTATGGGAAGGTCCAGCTTTTTATGTGACCTGAGACTTTTGTCTATTTTCCTACTGGGTTTCCAAATACATTATAAAATATTTTGAGTAAAACGGAGTTCATTTCATGAGATGCCCTGGCATGAATCTCCCTTAATTGGCTTTAGCCTCGTTGCAAGAAGGAACTGTGTATTGTTCGGATTATTTTCCCTCTGGTCCCCAGCACTCAGTGAGACAAAGTAGGTGCTCAATAAATGACCAAAAAAAAAAAAAAACCTATGGGGGCTTATAGGAATAGAGACAAGGATACCAGAACCTGCTTGAAAGGTTTAGACTGCACAGTCACTATATGCAAAATGACATTCATACAAGGTCAAGGGAAATGAAAGGGAAATTTGGTTACCGTAGTAAGTAACCTTGTTCTGCCTGAACAAAAGCACACACAGGGTATTATAAAGACTCCAGGAAAAGGCACAGCCAGCAAGATCTTTTATTCTGAAACAGTCTTGGTAGGAAAAAAAAAAGAACAGGATGAAAGAGAGTCACAAGTTTATATTAAAGAAAATCAGAATCCTTGAAAATAAACTAGTTATATTTCAAACAACTTCCGTTGGAAATTAGGCTTCAGAGGTAAATTAGCACCTCTCCTTTGAAAGGAAAAGAGGTGTTTTCAGCATCTGCTCTTAAACTCTTTCAAAATAACAGCAGTGTCTTTTTTATTTTTTTAAACAACATTTTTTAGAAAGAGTGAATTTCATTTTCCTGTTTGATTTTTAAATAAAATTCCCTTGGCAGTGAATCCTTCACTATTCTTGTTTAAAATAACTAACCTATATTAATTTTGAAAAGCAACATTTTTAAGCTTTAAATATGTTGAGGAAAAGAGGAGTCTGCCTCTCATTTAGAAATATTTGTAGGTAGGTCAAAACACATTTTGATAATGATCCTAAATGGTCATAATTAAGGCAGTGGTCCATTTCACGCAGTTCAGGAAGCAAGTATGAGATTCGTGTGTTAATGGAACAGTACTTTAGAATGCGGTGTACTGCATACTTGTGGAGATGGCAAAGAGGGTTACCTTAATAGAACCATTCATTCATTGAACACTGTGCTTGATGCCGGAACAAAACTAACACCACAGACCACTGCTCTTAAAAGGCTAACAATCTGTGGGAGAAAGGAAATGGGCCAATAAAAGGCATGCTTTCCTGTAGATTTATGTGCTACAGAGCAAGAAGGGAACAGATGAAAAACTTTACTCAGCTGGGCCAGAGAAGGCTTTCTCTGAAGATTTCATTGAATTTAGGGAGGAGGACCACATCCAGTGGTGCTCAGTCATCAAGCCCATTGAGTCTGGGGCTAGGACAGAACCATGTGGTGGTGAAGGTAAGCGCCTAAACCTCTATACCGTCCATCTTTCCAAATCAAGTTTACTGAATAGTATGTGGTAGGTCCTTTCAGAGCTGAGGGTTGGGGGGAATCGGCAAAGGGGCAGAAGTCACAAGCTGACAGGAGCTAGAGAATGGAGGAGTATGTAAGCAATGAGAGGTATAAAGGCAAGTCAAAGTCCAATTGTGAAGATGCTGGTGTGACAAAGAGAATAGCTGAACCTAATGCTGTAGGAAGTGAGACGCCACTGATAGATTTTAAGCAAGAGAGCATTTCCAGAGACACGATTTCTGTGGCAATATGAAAGATGGAGTCAAGGAAAAGGACAAAATTTTTCTGCAAGAAATAACAGGGGGAAATTCTAGTAGTTCTGAAAAGAAAGACCAGATGGACTGGAGGGACAAGAGGCGAAGTAAATGCTGAGCTTAGAGGAGGAAGAGGACAAAGAAGGACGTGTCCTTCAGTGGCTTTATATTTTACATTCAAAAAAATTTTCTCAATATTAAGGCACCATGATTTTTCAGGCATACAATGTTCCAAAACTAATCCTACCATCAACATCAACTTCTCTCCACCAATGTCACAGGTTCCTCCTCTGCCAGTCTGTCTCTGTCAGGCACATTTTTCAGTTCGGTGGTTGTGTACTTTGGGTCTCACGCTTACAGTATTGGTTCTGTAGTTCAGATTTATACGTATACCACACCTCTACATCACAGATGTGCCCAAGGCCCTTCACTCCTACTCTGTTACCTCTCATCATTCTTACTCCCCTCCACAATCTCTCTCCTTTTCCATTTTTTTTCATTTCTGTAATCTAGGGTCATGGTTATCTATCCCCCCCTTTCATAATTTGAACTCCATGCTCCTGTTATTCTTCCATATACTACAGAAAAGTGAACTCGTTGGGTGTTTATCCTTCTTTTGACATACTTAACGTGATATCCTCCAGTTCCAATCCAGCTGCAGCAAATTACATGATTCATTATTCTTTGCAGCTGCATAGCATTCCTTTGTGTATATATAAGATACTTCCACCATCCATTCGTCTGTTGTTGGGCACCTAGATTGATGCAATTTCCTAACTGGTGTGTTGAGTGCCGCAATGAATAGTGGTCCGCACATGTCCTTTTTGAATGAATGCTTTTGTATCCTAGGAGTAGATACCAAGACGTGAGATTGCCGTGGCAATTTGTGTCTTATGTCTGTAATAATTTAATAGCTATATTAGCAGTAGCAGTATAACATTGTTAGCGGCCAACCCGAGTTCGATTCCTCCGCCCCTCTCGGAGAGCCCGGCAAGCTACCGAGAGTATTCGATATGCCAGACACAGTAACAACAAAGTCTCCAATGGAGACGTTACTGGGCCCGCTCGAGCAAATCGACGATCAACGGGAGGGCCTTTACCTTTTACCTTTAGCGTATTAGCGAAACACAGAAAGTATCATGCTAAGTGAAATTAGAGACAGGAACAGAATGATTTCTCTCTTATGTAGGAATCAAAGAATCATAGTAATGAAATAACAGCCAAAGGCAACAGAACCTGAAGACTGGTCTATAGAACTGAGCTTCCTGTGGTGGAGGATGGTGGTTGAGGGAGGGACATGCTGGTGGAGAATGTGGTGTTGGGTATTCATGAAAGCCTCTTGAACATTATTGTGGAGCTGGGAGAGTGTACAGATGGCCAGTCATTTGCCTTGCATGCAGTCAAATCAGGCTAAATTTCCAGCACCAAATGTGGTCCCCCAAACATCACCAGGAGTGATCCCTGAGGGTAGAGCCAGGAGTAACTCCACTTATCACTTGGGTATGGCATTGAAAAAAAAAGTGTTGTAAATCACAGGGCCTGAATTTTTCATTTAAGGCTTTTTAACTAATAAAAAAATCCATTACCAGTTTCCACTAATTTTTATGATCATAATTAGACTGATAAAAATATTTTAATAGTATGTCCTATATGAGGAGGGGGCCACCCCAGAGGTACTCAGGGACCCTTAAATATTACCATGTCTCTTTTAAGATTAAAAAAAAGGAGAGGGTGATATTTAAATATATTTTACTGAAACTTGCAAATGCAAGCCATGATCATTTTAAGCATAGTTTGCAACCCAAGAATAACCATGTTGTCATCAACAATTCACTTGATATAAAGGATAAAACAATGAATTACCCAGATAACCCCCAAAAAGTCCTGAGTAAAAATAATTGCATCATCACACAATGTCTTTAGAACATTATATTTCATAAAAGACAATGATAAAAAAGTACAAACATTTCTATGAGAAGCAAAAGAAAAAATGAGTACAAGAAATTTTTAGCATTTATTTCAGTGCATTTTACATAGAAGCCTTTCAGATCTTAATAAATAAAATAATTTTAAGTACACTTTTCTTTCTGATAAACAATGCTAGGACATTTAAGTTCTCTCAGTTGGCATACTTACAAATACAAGATAATAAATATAGAATAATAATATTTACCTGACTGAAATGTATGTAAAGGAATATAAGATAAGCAAAGGCAAAATAAAATTATATAAAATCTGCCTTCATTTGTAGGGTGTCTCCAAAAGGAGGAGTATAATGAATTGTATATTTTTCCACTTTGCCTTAAAATGGATATTAATATTTCAGCTGGGAAAGAAGTAAAGCAAGTTTTTTAAATATATTTTTATTTACATAAGAATGCAAATAAGATTTCCTTACTGAACAGCTTTTCATAAAATACAAACAGAAATTCAGATTAAAGAAATATTCACTAAATTCTAGTTCTGACAAAGATTAAAGCAACTAGTTACACTGTGACACTACAAATATGTGCACGTTTCCCTTTTCCTTTCTACAAACAGACCCATTAATCATTCCTACTTTCTAGCTAAGAGGTACTATATTACTTTTCCAATAGTGCCATAGGGTCTTCATAATAACTGTCTACAATTTTTTGACTTTGAGACTAAAAAGTACAAGAGATAATTTTCCAAGAATGTCTTCATAGTTTTTTTTTAAGGTTTCAACTTGCTTGATTTGATTTCTCTATAACTGAAATAAAACTTCCTGTAGATAAACCTAGCATTGCATCTAATACCGAGCAGGTTATCAATATATGTTCCAGAGCAGTAATCAATACATTGCATCCAATACCGAGCAGGTATTCTCTTCATCAAATATAACCATGAAGAGGATGGTTTTGTATTTTCAAGGCATTTGTTAATATATATGAAACACATATTTTCACACAAGTAAAATAACTGGGCAAAGCTCTGTTACTCTTATGAAAACACACCAAAGTCACTATTTAGAAGCAAAATCAATTTTAAGTATGTTTTAAGTTTTACTTTAAAAAGAAAAATAAAAATGTGATTATTTTACACAAAATGGAAAAGCACATTAAAAATTTCAAAAAGAAAAACATATTTGTACTAACCCTCAAACAAAATTAATTAGATGTAATTCAAGAAAATAAGGCAAAACTAGTAGTATTGTGTTCTCTTGAAAATGTAAAATGTGTATCAAAATGAAAAGATTTCAAAATGTGGAGAGTGCCACATTAAAAATATATGTTTTACTAATAAAATTCAGAAACAGCCCTAATTTCCCCTCCAACTAAAATATTTAAGTCTCATTGGGTAAATTATGCTCCTATGTCCTTACAATCTTGTAAATAATCAAATTTGAACATTCCCAGCCTACTTTCTTTCATTTTATCAAAAATTTAAAACTACAGTGGCTACAAGACAGAAAATAAATCATTTCTTAATCTTATTTTTCATGATGTTTGATTTTTCATTATTTTGAGTAACAGCAAACAAAAAGATAAATATTTACACCTCCTCTAAGAAACAAATTTTGGACAGTCCTGCTTGGCATTATAACAGGTCTACCAATTTTTTCAAAGTATAAGAATTGCAGTTATTTCATAATCTTGTCTGTGGTTATTTGTACTATCAATAATATCACAGAAATGACATTTCAAAATTAAAACTACAACCTGAGATAGATAACCATATTTCTGTTTTAGGTGAATAATTTGTGAGGAAACATAGTAAAAGTAGCTCTCATTTATAGATTTCTATTGTTTTTCATTGTTGAAAATTCACTTTACAAATATACAATGTTTTGCTTTAAATTTGTGAAAATATCTGAATATTTTAAATAATCTTTGGTTAACTATAATAGTTTTCAAAGCAAGGATGTTGTTTGGTGCTGTCATGAAAACAGCATCCAAATTTGATGTCAGATAGTGAGACTTGTTTTCAGGGAAGTGTCTATAACAATGTATTAAATAACTGATTGTGTATTTTAAGAGTTCTACTAATTCATGTTTTTAGTGAGGATATTTTAAGAATTTATACCACAGATATAATCTGTAAATGAAAATAATGGTTTAAATGAACTTTGCCAACATTAAAGGATCTCTTCAAAACCTGAAATTCCATGAATCTAAGAATTAAAATTTGTTTCAATCTACTAAGCATTTATTTTCACAAAAATAGAACATTTATCTAATAGTACAATCCATTTGTATATTTTAACTACTACTGTGCTTTCTAAAAGCTCATTCTTTTCAAAGAAAATGGTTCTGATTTTTTTCAAATGAAATTTATTTTTGGCTTTCTGAAATGGAAATAATAAAAATGCTAATCAGAATTAAAAATAAGAGAAAGAAAATACAAAGTACACACACACACACAGAACCTTTTGAGGCACAAAATCCCTGACACTTAACACCAGAGGTACATGAAAGACAATTAACATAAAAAAAGATCCTTTATATCATGTCACATCACAACTTTTAAAATTTTCTTGGTAATACTCATGCAATATGCATAAACAATATGGTTGTGATTTAGCAAAATCTGATGAGATTGCAAGCAAGGAATAAAATAGATGATCCTATAAGGAAGAAAAGCTGTTTAAGCCCTCCCCTCTTATCCTTTAAAACTCTAAGAGAGCTGTGACTTCTTCCACACAAAAGGCTGAAGGTCTAAAGCTCAAAACTAGTATAACAGTTTACTGTATTAGTTGGCTGTCAATTATTGACAGTTCCTTCATCTCACACAAGGGTTAACCTTTGTTTAGTGACAGATTTACACTGTTTTTCCCATGCAAATAAAAAATGTCTATAAAAATCCCATAAAGGCATAACCAATTACATGCAAAACTGCAACACATCTAATTTCTCAACATTTTGAACACATTAATTTACATCACATATGTACAAAATAGGTTTAAACAGAAATAAAGCATTCTCTTCGGTTAAATTACAGATTTTAGTATAAAAATTTTCTCTTTATAAGGAGTGCTCTGAACTTCCAGTCTTAAGCAATGGCATGTGGTGTCTGCAGTATTTCCCAAGGGGTATCCCAGAGTCCACAATGAGCAGACGGAGGATGACTCGATAATCCTGCACTGTAAACACGGGGGCCTCTCGGCTCATCTCACAGGGCACTGGGACAGGTCCATTCACAGTCCTCCACTTAGAGTTGGCTACAAGTTTATTATCCAGCATTGGGATCCATTCAGCCATGAAAGCCACTTCCTTTAATAGTCTTCGATTGGAGCTAACTCTGGCATGAGGTTTACAGATATATTTGTATACAACCTATCAACCAGTACTTTTGGCGTACATATTAAATTATTCAGACCATCGATGAACTGACGTTCTTTCGAATATCTTAGTAATTTATACCTACAATGTTAGAGGGGGAAACGAAGAGTAACAGATATATATTCAAAGAGAAAATCCAATGAGGAATATACTCAAGGTCATAATTACAGCATTGACAGCTCTTTACAATGTCTGGTTATCATGCATAATTAAAAAAAATTTATACCATTATTTTAAGTTTGCATTTTTACTTGTCTTAAGACCACCCAATATAACACAATGAATTACTACTAAGCTATAAGAAAAGATGAGAGAGGTCAGAGTGATGGTACAGCAGGGTGTTTGCCTTGCAGAAGGCTGACACAGATTTGATTCCTGGCACCCCTTACTGTCCCCAGAGCCTACCAGGAGTGATCCCTGAGTGCAGAGCCAGGAATAAGCCCTAAGCACTGCCAGGTGTGACCCCAAAACAAACCACACAACCGAGATGAAAAACAAACCACACAACAGAGATGAAATCATGCAATTCACTACTACATGCTGAACTAGAGGATATCAAGCTGAGTAAATTCAGCAGAGAGCTGTACACAGATCACATACGTGGAATATAAAAAAAAAAAAGAAATTAAGGGATAACAAAAAATTAAATGCAACAGTAGACCCAAGTCAGCCAAGAGAACTGAGACTGTTAAGGGAGCAAGGAAGAGAGTAGATAAGGGGACCTTGACAGTGGCAGAGGGACACCAACTCTCTAGTGTTTGGTGTGGTGCTGAATATTGTATGCCTAAGTTTTTATTAATAACAGCATTGTAAATTGCAGTGCCTAAATAAATTTTTAAATATTAAATAAAATGCCACCTAAAATTTACTTTAAACTCATAAAAATTTTTCAATAAAATTAACATTTACATTAAGATACTTTTACAGAGTTAACGTGTGCACATACATCTATGTGAGTGTAGCTCTTCAAAATATGCACGTAAATGCTTTATTTATATAAAGAAAATGAGAGTGTGGTGTATTTGAAAAAATTCTTTCACACATTAGATAAATTTGAAGTCTTGTCATCTAAAGATGATGTTAAACTTACCGTCCTAAAAACTGGACTTCCCCTCTGTGGTGATGAGGAATAGATTTGTACTTTCCCAAGTCTCCCTCTGGTCTTGTTACGTTATATCCAGCATAGTGAACTCTACAATAAAATACATGGAAATGAAAATATAAGGAAAGAAAACCTGACAAAAAAAAATGAAGTACAAGAATCAACTTCAAGTGCAAACCTTTTTTCCACTATATCTGTAGAACAAGTACAGAAGTCACTCAATGAGAAAAGGGAGAAAAGGAGATTTAGAAACCTCAAATTTTTTCTACCCCAAAGAATCTTTTCTTATAATACCAAACTTAAATTTATCTAGTAGAAAGGAACCTATAGAAATTTTATTATTAAGCAACTGGCCCCTCAACTTACCTATTCCAAAGGTCATCATCTTCTCCTCCCCATCCCCAGAAGGCATTGGGAAAACCATTGATCTTTCTAAACTGTTCCACTGTCAGTCCACTCACACCACCAAAAAATTCTTTGTATGGAAGACTGGAAGAGAAAGCAGGATACAACATTCATTTCCAAAAATGGAATCACGGGGCCAGAGCGATAGTACAGTGGGTAAGGTGTCTGCATTGCACACGGCTGACCCGGGTTCGATCCCTGGCATCCCATATGCCCCCCCCAGACCCCTGCCCGAACACTGCCAGGGCTAATTCCTGAGTGCAGTGCCAGGAGTAACCTCTGTGCACTGCAGGGTGTGACCCAAAAAAAGACAAAAAAATAATAATAATTGCACTGCAGCACTGTCCTCCCACTGTTCATCAATTTGCTCGAGTGGGTCCTGTAACGTCTCCATTGTGAGACTTGTTGTTACTGTGTTTGACATATAGAATACATCATAGGTAGCTTGCCAGGCTTTGCCGTGTGGGCGAGATACTCTCGGTAGCTTGCCAGGCTCTCTGAGAGGGGAGGAGAAATTGAACCTAGGTTGGCTGCATACAAGGAAAATGCCCTACCTGCTGTGCTATCACTCCAGCCCATAATAATAATTAAAAATTAAAAAAAAAGAAAAATGGAATCACAACTGTTTACCTGCAAAATCAAGTTTTCATATTTTATATGCCTTGCAAAAAATTTTTTTATATAATCATTTTGACTAAATAGTACCTGGGAAATGTAGAGTACAAGAAAAAAAGTTATGTTCTAATGAAATAAGCACCTCTAACTATATTATGTGAAGTATAAAACAAAATATGTGATTTTTGAAATTTAATATTCAATACTGCTACTTTATGAACTCGAAATCCAGTGTTCAATGTTGCTTTTTTTTCACAGTCAAAGTAATTCTGATTAAATATATTTTATAGCCATCAAGGCAATGTTGTACACTGCCAACCTAATAAAATCTTCTAAATTAAGTGAACTTAATTATAAATGGCATTTATGATACATAGACTATAACAAATGTAAATTTGCAAAAACAAGTCAAGCATTTCATTTTGAAAGAACTAGCTGTCTTTTTCTATAATGGTTCTCTTCCAAAATACTAAGAGATACCCACAGATATACTCATTATTAGTGCAATAATATTTTTATAAATTACCGTTTTTACTGATGTGATTGACATCTAAATTTTTGTTTATTTTAGGTGTACAACATAAACATAAGGTTTGAGATATGTATATATTATTAAATGACTACCACAATTAATTTAGTGAACAGTAATCACTTCACATAGCTGTAATCTTTTTCTTTATATTCAATCACGATCACGATCACCCTGTTGTTCGTCGATTTCCTCGAGCAGGCACCAGTAACGTCTCCTTCTTCCTAGCCCTGAGATTTTAAAAGAGCCATTTCAATGCCCTTTCAGGATTAGGAGAATGAGACCCATCACTGTTACTGGTATTTGGCAGATTGAGTATGACACGGGAAGTTTGCCAGACTCTGCCGTGCGGGCAGGATACTTTTGGTAGCATCATCTTATTTTTTACATTCAATAGGGTTCTTAATCTCTACTGTTTTAGCAATTTAGCTCCACTGTTTTTGGGTCACACCAAGCAGCACTCAAGGATTACTCCTGGCTCTGTGCTCAGGGATCAGACCCTGAGGGGTCTAGGGATAAAATTCACATCAGCCATATCTAAAGGCAAGTACTTCACCTGCTGTACACTGTTATCTTTCCAGCTCATCTGAGTAATTTTTAAATATACTATATAGCATTGGTAACTACCAACACCCAGCTGTACACTGTATCTCCAGGAATTATTTTCTAACTGGATATTTGGACCTTTAGGGTCCCCCTACCCATTTTATTCCCTCTATTCCACTCCTGGAAGCCTACCAGTCTGTTATTTGTATCTGTGAATTAGGTGTTTTATTCTTTTACTTTATTAAAAACTTTTTTTTGTTCTTTGAGCCACACCTGGCAGTGCTCAGGGCTCTGCATTCAGGGATCACTCCTGGCAGGCTCGGAGGATCATATGTGGAGGTGGGGATCAAACCCTCCACGTCAGCCACATGCAAGGTAAGCTCCTTACCCTCTGTAAAATTGCTTCACCCTGTGTTTTGTTTTTTAGAGTTCCTATGTAAATGAGAGCAAATTAGTAGTTCTCTTTCTCTAACAAATGATTATTTTTAAATTTGTCTTTTCTTCATCTCTAATACACACTCTAAGGAATTTGGCAAACTAAGTTGTTTATTTAGATAAGATTGATTTTCTGAAGTCAAGGTATCATTCCTGACTGAACCTAGAGAGAGCTCAATGGGCCAAGCACATATTCTGAATGGGAGAAGCCCGGGTTTGATGCCTGGCACCACGTGGTCCCCAGTAATCCCTGAGAGCAACTCCTGAGCACTGAGTATGGAGCAGACTCTGAGCACTGCTGTGTTCCCCACTCCAACCCATTCCCCTGTCCCTGCCCAATACATGCACCAAAAGAAAACCAAAAATAGAAGCATTTCTAGATGAACAGTTGTATTTTCTGCACATCTAATCAGAAGAAGGTAAGGGAGGCAGCAGCCTCTCTCCTCCCTCCTTCTTCTATTTTTTCTGTGTTGTTGTACAGGGAAGAAGAGCTGTTCACCAACTGGAATCCTGTATGACCACAATATGGAAAAATTCGTTCTCACATGGAACTCTGGGTTTGCAAGAGCATTCTAGGACATCTCATAATTTGGGTACTTGCAAAGTTAGGGTTCTGGTAATAATGCTGGCTAAGTATAAGAGGATTACAAACAATCATGGCACTGCTACATTTTTCACACAAATCGCACACTATTCTTGCCCAAATTGGTGCTCAGAGAAATCAGAGAGTACATAAATAGGTGTGTGTGTTTGCTGACATGTACAGATTGGCAGCACATTAATTTCTATATTGTTCTGCTTAAATGAAACAACCACACTGTACACAGAGTGAAAAACAAAATGTCATATAATATGAACTAAGTTCAGACAACAAAAGCTTGACAAACAAGAGTCTTGGAGCTCCTGAGGCTGGAGCAATAGTACAGCAGGTCGGGCATATGCTTTGCAGGCAGCTGACCCAAATGATCCAGCTTCAATCCCTGAGCACTGCCAGGAGTAACTGTCGACTGCAGAGCCAGGAGCTATCCCTGAAAAATCACAGGATGTGGCAACAAAACAAAGAAAAAAAAATGGTCTTGTAGAACCCATCTGACAATGTCCAAACTGACAACTGCCCAAAGACAATATACAAATACAAATTTGGGGTCTGGATGTCTTGGTCCACACCCACTAAAGTGGACAGCACCTGTGTAGCAAGAGGCTTTCATCAGGCTTCAGCACACAGTCAGCATCTATGCCAGCCCTGCCCATCCCCTGGTCTAATACCATTCTCTCTAAAATACATTCTCATTTCTATTCAGAGAGATATTCTTCTAACCTTGGGTTAATCTAAGCATATATAAATATTTTTTATCGCTAAAAATCAAGATTGTCAAAACTTAACACTGAACTATTTGTTTATATGACCTCTATGGTATTTTGAAATAGAAATCAATTTTCTTGAATCTAATTTGACTTCCAAGTCTACTGGGCTACAGCCCAAACTGAGTTTATACACATGCTAAGAACCAGACTGAATCTGGACAACCTTGAGCAAGATGATGTTAGACCTGAAGTTCAGAGACTGTTGTAATAATATGGAAAATGTTTTCTCATGGCAATGGTTGTGTGTTCAAAAGAGTGTGGGGACATGCCACATGTGTTCAGTGGCCATCAGCTGTCTCCCCGCCCTGGTAGGCCACTGCCTAAGGAGGCAAGAAAGAGAAAACATGGCCAAGCTGGTTGGTAACTGTCACCATTTATTCCAATCTCCGTCCTATTCTAGTCTCACTCTCTGACCATATTCCAGTCTCATGTGCCCCATTCCAGTTTCCCTCTGCCCTAATTCCCATCTCCTCCATCCCATCTCACAGCCTTCATTCTCGAGACCACCCCTCAAACTTGGAGGTAGCAAATACACATAGGTATGGTTGCACAATCAACAGATGTAAAGTCCTTCCCTTGCTTCTTCTAGGACAAATTCTCCTCCTGCAAGGAGATCCACCTATGAGTGGAATACATCTAGGGGCATATTTCTCTTTACCTTATTCCATATCAATTTAAACAGTCACCTTAAATTTATTTCTTAATAATATTAGCCATTTTGTATGGACACAGTAAGAGATATATTAAGCTTAAAGAGTGGCTCTTCCTGGGGACATCTCGCTATATATCCCAAACTACAGTTTTCAGACTAGGTTAGTTTTGTAACCCCAGCAGGGTCCTTATCCAGTTACTTCTATTTGGGTCATGACAGAATTTGTCCGTGACCATGCTCTTAACTTATAAGTTTTATGACTATTGGACTGTACCTTTTCAATGCCAAAGAAGCTCACAGGTTGCCTTGGGTCCATCCAAGTCCCTTCATCGTGACCCTCCTTTTGGGGTGCAAGGAACTAAGGGCAACTGAGGCTTAAGTCGAGTAAATCTGACAGATGCCCAGGAGTAAATATTATTCAGAGCCAATTAACTCCCAAATTACAAAAGCATAGCATTAGCTGTCTTCCTGCGTTTATAGAAAAAGGACATTGCTCTAAAGTAAACTATGCAAAGGACATAAAGGAAAGAGAAAAGCAAATTTCATTTGCATATACAAAATCCAGAGTTCTAGAAAGAAAATACCCTATTGGGAAGGGTCTTCCCAACACTGAACCATCACAGCAGGAGATAAAGCCAACAAGTGCTCTACCCCACTGGACTGCATATTCTCAAGGCAACCCTGGAGACAGGCTCCATTACCCCCAAATGATGAGGGAACCAACAGCCACAGACACAATTCCTAAGGTAACCAGGCTCTCTCGCTGTTCCTTGTGAAAACTAGAAGTGAATGCCCATTTCCTCTCTTTTCCACCATTCCATACTCCAAAGTCTGCAAGAAGTATCTAGGATCAGTGGCTCCCAAAGCCTCCTTCAGGAAAAAAAAAAAAAGTCACCATCCCCACCTGGAAATCTACCTTCTAGAATGCTCCTCCTCATCCCCAACCCCCACCCTAAGTGGGGAACGACCCACTTAGGAAACACTGATTTAGATAAAACAACAGGCTACTTTACATCCTGGCTTCTTAAGATGATGGGATAAAGTTTAAGAAAATGCTTTATAACTTCTTGAGTTGTCTCAGACACAGAGAAATAATGTTGATACCACTTCAGTGATGTGAGATTTTTGCAAGCATAGAATACGTATCAGAAAGATTGTGCATGACTTACATATACATGTATTTATCCAGCTTTGTTGCAAAATGACGAGGCATTTCCCCACATCCATAATAGTTGCGGTCATTTTCAGGTAGATGATCCACATCATGGAAGATCACACAGTCCCAGACACTGTCTTTCATAGCCTCTTTGAAGCCCACATTGAAAAGCATGGCACGGTTAAAAGGCTGCGTACCCGTCTTTACAGAGAGGAAAACAGAAATGTACTCAAGCTTTGTCATATATGACTTTTGTCTATAATTTTATAACCCCATAAATCATGATCAAATGACACTAATAAATACATGAGTAAAACAAATAATAAGCATACTCCAGGGTTTTCAAATACACTAAATTTATTTACTACATTATCTCTCCACATTGGTAGATAATTTTCTCAAAATTTTTCAAATTTATTCAAAATAAAATCCAAGAGAGAAAAAAATTGATGAATTGGCTTTGATTTTTAAAAATGTAAACATCTTCTCTGCAAAGAATAGTGTTAAGAGAATGATAAGACAAGTTACAAACTGAAAGAATATATTTTTCAAATACGTAATTAACAAAGATCACATACTAAAATATACAAAAACTCTTAAACTAAGGAAAAGAGGTGGAGAGATAGTACAGTAGGTTGATAATGATCTAGGTTCAATTCCTGGCACCACAAATAGTCCCCTGAGCCCACTAGAAGTGACCCCTAAATACAGAGCCAGGAGTAATCTTGAACACTTCTGGGTGTAAACTCAAAAGAAACACACAAAGGGGCTGGAGCACTAGGACAGCGGGTAGCCCTAGTGTTTGTTTGCTTTGCACGCAGCCGAACTGGGGTTCGATCCCCGGCATCCCTAGCAGCCAGGAGTAAACCATGTGCATCGGTGAGTATGACCCAAAAAACCAAAAATTAAAAAAAAAAAAAAAGAAAATGAGCAGAATATCAAAACAGTACCTGGTCAAAATAATAATACAAATGGCATGAATATTATACATAATATACATATGCACAAATGTCCAACACTGTCTACCAGGAAGAAGCTGAAAAAGCAATAATTATGTACCTGCTAGAATTACCATTATGCTTGAATTATTAATTCAATTAACATAATATTAAAAATATGGTATCAATATATTTTATCATCATAAAACAGAATGTTATAGGCCTTTTTAATCAATCAATATAAATAACACTTAGAATATGATAATATAATGCATGTTTCTATTTTACTCAAAATAGATTATAGCCATTTACGACCAAGGAAAAAGTTAAAATCTATTCAAATAATATAGGCTGTGAAGCTTTCCATATGCTGCTAAAGAAAAGCAGAAAAACTGACTGACAACTAGTAACAAGGCCAGGAAGACCTATCTTCATGCAACTAATGCTTATAATAAACATAAAGACATTTTTAGATGCAGAAACTGTAACTTATTACACAACTCTAACTCCCTTTATTACACCCAATTTCTTTAATTATTATGGAAAACATATTAAGGAATCTAGACAGAATGAACAGTTCTTACTTTTCATTATTCTTGCCAGTAATAAAAAAAGGGAACTTTTTTGGGTGCTTTTTAAAATTTTTATTTATTTATTTATTTGTGAAACACCATGAGGTACAGTTGTAGACTTACAAACTTTCATGCTTGGGTTTCAATTATACAATGATTGAGTACCCATCTCTCCACCAGTGCCCATTCTCCACCACCAATGATCCCAGAAGCCCTCCCACTCCCCCACTCCGCCCCCTGCCATCCCATCCCGCCTTTCTGGCAGGGGATTCCCAAAAAAGGGAACATTTTAAGGGACAAAAAGCATGGGCTTTTTCTACGCAATACCCAAGTTACTATATTATAATAACATTCCTTTTACAAACAAAACTTCATTAAGGTACATTAGAAATAAACACACTACAACAAAATGAAATTAAGAAGCAGTTACTATTCCTTAGTAATAGGTCTCAAAAAGGATTATGACAGAAGTGAATAAGGTACACAATATGTTGACTCATAATTGGAATGCTCAAGAGTGAAATATAACTTTTAGTCCTGAGTCCTCCATTAACTTAATGGTACTACACCTTAACTTTTTCCTTCTTCCACCAGTAAAATGGAGAGAATAAAAAGGAAGGTGAGTTCAATTATAATATTGTTACTGTAGCACTGCACTGTCCTCCGTTGTTCATCGATTTACTTGAACGGGCACCAGTAAGGTCCCCATTGTGGGATTTGTAGTTTCTGTTTTTGGCACATCGAATATGCCACGGGGAGCTTGCCAGGCTCTGCCGTGCAGGCAGGATACTCTCAGTAGCTTGCCGGGCTCTCTGAGAAGGACAGAGGAATCGAACCCAGGTCAGCTGCATGCAAGGCAAATGCCCTACCTGCTGTGCTTACTCCAGCCCAACATTATTACTAGTATATTAATATAGGTTATAAGGCCCTCCCGTTGATCATCGATTTGCTCGAGCGGGCCCAGTAACGTCTCCATTGGAGACTTTGTTGTTACTGTGTCTGGCATATCGAATACTCTCGGTAGCTTGCCGGGCTCTCCGAGAGGGGTGGAGGAATTGAACTCGGGTCGGCCATGTTGGCTGCGTGCGGAGGTTATAAGAAATTACCTTTTTTGAGAGAGAGAACACAGGGAATTGCCCTGCCACAGAGACAGGGGGGATGGGGGGATGGGGGTGGGAGGGATATTATCCATGGTGGTGGAAAATGGGCACTGGTGGAGGGATGGGTATCTGATCATTGTATAATTGAAACCAAAGCACAAAAAATTGTAAATCTACAACTTTAAAAAAAATAAAATAAAATAAAGGGAAAAAAAAAAAAAGAAATTACCTTTTTTAAAGGTTTTAAAAATCTTGGTTTCAGCTGTTGGAGCAATAGCACAGCAAATACTATTGCTGTACTATTGCATACAGCAGATCCAGGCTCAATCCCTAGCACCACACATGGTCCCCCGAGTCCACCAGGATTGAACCCTGAACAGAGAGCCAGGAGTAAACCCTGAGCACTTCTGGGTATGGTCATCCCCCACAAAAAAATAAAAAAATTTAAAGCTATTCTCATTAAAGGTGGCTTATGGTAAAAAGTAAAAGTTTATTCTTAATCCTTTTTATCCTCTAAAAGCAATGTATTTCAACTCCTCTAACAGTTTATTCTGATACATATTTTCAAGTACTAGGAGTTGTCATTTTCCTTGTCTACTGATTTCCTATTATGGTCATTGAGAATTGCTACACCATCACAATCACTGCCCCTTCATCTAGTCTTGGGACATAATTACAGCATAAATTCTTGTTAAATCAATAATTTGCCTTTTTAAGAATTTTGTAGGGGCTGGAGCGATAGCACAGCGGGTAGGGTGTTTGCCTTCCACCCAGTTGACCCAGGTTCGATTCCCAGCATCCCATATGGTCCCCTGAGCATCGCCAGGAGTAATTCTTGAGTACAGAACCAGGAGTGACCCCTGTGCATTGCCGAGTGTGACCCAAAAAGAAAAAAAAAAGAATTTTGTAAATGTTTCTTGAGTACTGAATTAGTAATTGTTTTCTTTCTCAATCCGGGATAACTGTTTTCTGTGTTCTTCACTTTCAATATAACTACCATTGCTATGTACAAAAGGCCCAACTGATACAATCACAAATCACAAATCATCCTGTTATTCGTCGATTGCCTCGAGCAGGCCCCAGTAACGTCTCTTTCATCCTAGCCCTGAGATTATATTCAAGGCTCTTTAGGAGAATGAGACCCATCATTGTTACTGGTATTTGGCATATTTGGTACACCACGGGGAGTTTGCCAGACTCTGCCCTGTGGGCAGGCTACATTCGGTAGCCTGCCAGTTTGTCTAAAGTAGGAAATGAGATAATAAGATGTCATAATAAGATGTCGCGCGGCCGCGAATGAAGCCGCGCGGTTCTGGGAGCTGGTTTTTATAGTCTCTGAGTCTTGGCCGCTGATGGCATTACACGGCGGCAGGGAGCCAGTTGGTGGGTGTGACCCCCACCTATTGGAATTTGGAGGATCTGGGAGGAGGATGCTCGGCCCCAATCCGAGTAGGCTTGGTGATCTCGGCCCCGGAACCCGCGTGGCTTTGTCCCTCTGCCAGTACCTTCATGTGTGCGGAGAGTGGTCTCAGCATGGTGGTGGCTGGTCCTGGAGGTCTTCGACTGCCGGAGCCCTGGTCAGGGCGGGGAGGAAAGCTCAACTCGCTCCCCTCCAAGGGGCCCCGGTGAGGACAGCCAGGCATGGGGCAGGAGACTGATACACTTAAACTATTTAATAACTGATGCTCTTATTCCAATTGACACACCTAAACTATTTAGTAACTGATGCTCTTATTCCACTGGAGCCCTTGCTTCCTGCTCTGGACTGGTCCTATATACACAACTATAATCCTGAGACATCTCCTTTCTGCTGGTTATCCCTGTTTTGCTCCTAGGCTTTCTCAATTTCCAAAGGTATCTCAAGACCTAAAAACAATACATGTTTTAATTACAGCAGAAACAATTATATTTCAGTCCATTTAAGACTAAAAATGTTCTTATCTTTCCATATGATTAATATCTGGCTTGCTAAAAAAAATCTAGTTTAAAAATAAAATTCCCTAGAATTATAAGGGGATGACTCCATAATTTTCCAGTGATCAGCATTCCTGGGAAGGTTCACATGCCCCTGATACATACTCATACAAAGCTGTAATTTTTATGTAGGGCTTGCACAGCTTCTCTATTTCATTTCTAAAGAATCAAGAGTCTTCAGTATGGATCTGTATTTAATTTAAAGTGCACGCACAGACTTCTGTAATTTTAAAACTCCAGTCTTGCTTCTCAGAATTTTTTTTTTTACTTTTTGGGCTGGAGCGATAGCACAGCGGGTAGGGCATTTGCCTTGCAAGCCACCGACCAGGCTGACCCGAGTTTGATTCCTCTGCCCCTCTCAGAGAGCCCAGTAAGCTACCGAGAGTATCTTGCCCGCACGCAAAGCCTGGCAAGCTACCTGTGACGTATTCGATATGCCAAACATAGAAATAAGTCTCACAATGGAGACGTTACTGGGCCCACTCGAGCAAATCGATGAACTTTTTGATCACTGCTCCCAATACCTGGTTTTTGTTTGTTTCTGATCTCTTTCCAAGAACCTCGATTAACAACATCTAAGAAATCATAACAGTCTTGAACGCTAGTAGCTGAAAAAA